AGAAGGAGGATTTAGGGAAGTGGAGCGGAGACTCCCAGGAGCAGGAGGCTGCACTTCCAGGCTTCCGGTAGCGGACCACCAGATCTTAATGTCGCATGTTCGGTGGCATGTGTCACATTACCGATGATGATGCAGAAGCATGGGCCAGGGACAGACGGTTGTACAAGTGTTGATGTTGGAAATTTGCTGAGTCGTCAGTCTCGCTCGAGGCTGCAGAAAGAGCTGCACTGCAGTTGGAGAATTCGGGAAATATTGACATCTGTCCCTGTCTTTGTTTACGTTTATTTCTCTCTCAGGCTCCCTCATTTCACTAATTCAGTCACTGATTGATTTTCCTCCTTTTGGCCCTAAATTTTTACACTGGGGACATCTTCATTGCCATCAGAGAGTTGATCTAGATTCCATTCCTTTTTTCCCACGTTCAGCAAATACCTGAAGAGTTAAAGCCAAACATTTGAAGGCATGGGGTGGTAAACAAACCCATGGACCAGGAATCCCCAAACTATGTGTATGCCAATGACCAGGGGTTGCTGGCAAACCCACTTGACAGCAGCTAGAAGCTGTCGCTGACTGTTGTCTTTTATGGATTGTGCCTTTGGTGTGGTATCTAAAAAGTCATCACCAAACCGAAACATCACCTAGATTTTCTGTTATGTTATCCTCTAAGACTTTTCTATTATAGCATTTTATATTTAATTCTATGATCCATTTTGTTATTTTGTGAAGGGCATACTGAGTTTTTAAAAATACACAGCACGTGTATTTTTAATATACAAGTCACTTCCCTCCAATGATTTTTCACTCATGTTTCAAATGAAACCGGAGTCCTGACCGTGGTTTACAATTTCTACCTAATCCCTTCCCACAGCTCCGGGCTGTTATGGTGCATTTCCCTCCCCTCCACCACCTGAGCCTTCCCTCCGCCTCTTGAGATTTGCAGCTCATTCATAGCCTACATTAGAGAGGGATTACGTAATCAAGTACAGGTAGCCCGCAAAGAGGACTGAGTAGGAATCAAATGACTCAATAGTATAGAGGAGGGAAGATGGAGGGAATTTCAGGGCAGTTGCCTGGAACGACCTCCTTCAGAGAGAGAGAGAGAGAGAGTGTGAGTGAGTGTGTGTGTGTGTGTGGTGTTTAGTCCGTGGGTGGTGGGTCAGCAGGGCTCCTAAGGCTCAGAGGCTAAATCAATTGGCAAGCGCTCACGAACAGAGAGCTCGAATTGGATCTTTAAAAAATCCCGAGGTTGAACACTTTAAAATCTATAATCACTTTATATGAAGGTAAGGAATCTTTTCCACTGAGGTAGAATTCACTGCAAGGTGAATTTTGAAAACATGAACTGTATTACAAAAAGGAAAAATCTTCCTCGGTAACTGAATTGTATGGAACCAATAATTATGTTTGCACAAAACCTTAATTTTCCCAGAATCATGTCTTTCTAAAAATATTTGCTGGAACACGCATGTGTCTTACTGCCAGCTCTGTTTGCCACCCCATCCTCAAATCTGCATTTGGTCGTCATTTAGAACATTGTTTTGCTCCGTCGCACATCAGCGACGGTGTTGATTTTAAAGAGGGTGACTAACTCCAGGACGGACTCTCGGCGCCGCTTTTCCCTGAAGAGCCCCCATTATCCCACTTCACCCTGAGCACGCGGGCCTCCCGCGACAACCAATACAAATGTACTACTAGTTCACCAGAGGAAATAAATGGCATTTAAATCCCTTTATATAAAGTACCAATAATAAAAATCAAAAACTTCCGCATTTGTTCGCAACTCATTAAGGCACCTTGCATGAACACTGTGGCAGTGATATTTATCAATAATATGCACCTTTCTGCTCCTTCAGGAATGGTTCCAAGTCACTGAATTCTCCTTTTTAGTAAATAATATTATAGCAATACTACGATGCAGCTTAATGCTGTTGAAAATAAATTCACTGTTCAATCACTAGAAATAACATGATTCTTTTTTAGGCCAATGTTATTTGGCCTAAAAAATGCCACTTTATTATCCCTTAAATCCAATACTCTGTACCTGCATCTGGCAAATAGTACATATTTCAGCATTTTGTTAAGTGCCTATTCGGCTATGGGAATGTTATTTACATCTTATTGGAAAGATACATTTATCAGTGCAGAAAAGCAATTTATGCAGAACATTCCATGTGGGTCTGGTACCAGCTAGTGGCACTTAACACATACGCTTCACAAAGACAACTGCCTTTTTCAATAATGATGTGATCTTATTGAGATCAAAAGTGCTTGAAAAGAAATTATTGTCAAAATATTTGCCTGCCCTGCCGTGGAGAACCAGAAGAATGTGCTTGAGAACAGAGGCTGAAGCGGCCTTGCCCCGCCCCCTGCCCCGCCCCTGCCCCGCCCCAACTCCTGACCCACCCCCTCGCTCCCCAAGTGAATGTGCAGATTCACGTGCATTCTCCTTCACGATCGGAGGTTACCGAGGTATGGGTCATGGCTTCGTTTCCGTCTCTCTTTCGCAAAATCTGACATTTTAATCAGACATCAATATTTCTTGAATACATAAAAATTTCAAAAAAGGACTGTGATATTTCATTCACTACCATGCCTGGTTTCTGAAAGCAGCTATTTCACGGGTTATGAAAACTAGATCGTGCCCTTAATTGTTCAGAAGTGTAAGGCAGACAGCCTTGGGCATCTCAGCTTTTCAGTCTTCAGGAATCCCCTATTTGAGTTACAGATCAGGGGTCTGTTTAACCATGAGCTGTCGTGAAGGGCTCTTAAAAGTGTAAGAAAGCGGATGGGCCACCGAGACAGGCCTCCCAGGTCCAGCGTATTATTTAAACGGCTTAGCCATTAGCAGCAAATTTTGAACTGCCAGGTTTTATTTGCCTGGGGTGGAAACAGATACAGAGTATCATCTCAGGTTTCAGTCTCTAGTAGTGTTTACTTTTAGAATCAATGCTTGCTTATTAATTGGCTTGCTAAGGATGCTAATACATGGTTTAAATACAATGTTAGGTCTCTGCTAATCTCGTGTATGAAATAGCCATAACCTTGAACTTTGAGGTTGAAAATTCTAATTTTCTCTGGGGAAATTAGGTATGTGTATAGAAGAGTGGAAAAAAATTTCTTTCCATTTCATGCTTTAAGTGGCTGACATAATTTCTGGAGCCCACCTGGTCTGAAGGAAGATTGATTTAGAATTACAGCTTATTATGGAAGGAGCTTTCAAGTTCAATGAGTTCATAGTCCTCAGATGTATAAAGAACACTCCATTCTGCATTTTTATCATTAGTCTGTATTCCTCAGATGCCCATGGGTTTCCGGGTGTGTGCTCCACATGATGCAATTGTATAAATCGTCTGTCGGAGAATTGAGTCACTTCCCACCTTCCCTACTGCTCTGGAAGATTGTTTTGGGATAGGAGTTCGGGTGTAAACCTTTCGTTTTCATGTCTTGTGCAGTGGGCGCAAAGAGCTAAGCATCCACCGGGCTGCTTCTGGCTCCTTGCTGATTTCTGCTCTGGATGACATGGTACAGCCTGTCCCCAGGACTGCTGCCCCGGTGTGGGGGGCAGGGAAGTTGTCCCATCCTCTGGCACTTAACTGCTGGCGTGTGTGTGTGTGTTCAGACATCTGCTCCCAGAATAACAAAATCCTTGCACACCGCAGCCTTTGACCCACGCTCGGCTCCCCTCCACCCACTACTCCTATCAGAAACTCTGTGTCCCTAATGACAGAGGCATGCGGCAAATTCTGCCTCCTCACCTGCTGCACGTGAGTCTTGAATGATCTCAGGCTCATCTTTCTCGCCAACACCTGCCCGAATGAAACAACCTGTGTTGGGTATGATGGCGTGTGGGCCTTCCTCCAGGTGAATGGGACCGGCTGCTCCACGGCCTCATTCACAGCCTCCCTCTTGCTCTGTGAGCCTTTCTGTCGCTCCTCCACTCCCCTCAGGGTTTTTTCCTCCCAGGAGAACAATGGGACACCTGCTGCTCTACATCTTACTTGTATTTCTCCTTTTCTCCAGGTCATGAGGGGGCACGCCTTCCCTTTTCTGTACTTTATGTCCTCATTATTCCCACCCCTCAGCATAGAGAACAAAAGCTCCGCAATCTACCTTCCCATGCTTGGCTCTTGATATATTGATAAGAGCTTAGAGAATGCCAAGACCTCCGCTTGCTAATGGACTCAGACGTAGGGGAAAGGCTGCAAGGGAATGGAAATTGAATAGGAAATGAAAACACGTTGCTTTCATATTTTCAAACCATTATCTCTGTTCCATCGCGATCAGTGGTTGTGAATCCTGGCTGGTTATTAAAATCACTGGAGGTCTTTTACAAAATACTGATGCTAGGCCCCCACAGAAAAGTGAGATCAGAACATGGGATATTGATCAATCTGATGCTGGGAGAGTTTAAGTAAATTGCTCAGTGTCGATCAGCAAATACGTCCCACTCGGGTGGGAGCTCTTCCTTCCTCCCCCACTGCCAAGCACACTGTTGTGCTGTACTGATTATTGATACTTCTATTCCTAATGCATTTCGTGTTTTAGTGCACAGTGTGTGTGTGTTTGTGTGTGTGTGTGGCATATATATTTCACATGCAATTTAGTAGGAAACAAATGGAGAACAACTTCTCGTGCACCCCTTCCTTCCTTACAGTGGTGTGGTACGGTTGTCACCATGCCTGTGTCACCAGGAAGTCTGGAAGGTTTGCAGCTGATATCAACACACTTACACATGCAAAGCCCATGCATTTCTCTGTCCTCTTTCTTGGGGTTGGGGGGTGGTTCATTGAGAATGGCATCTGAAGGTCACGCAAGGAGTAAATGAGGGCAACATATTTCATTACCGGCTACTGGGGGTGCAAGTGGCTGTGGCCACGTGGGCAGACCTGCCAATGACTTGTCACAGCCTTCCCTCGGGTTCCAGAGGGCCAGGCACAGACGCACTGATCAAAAACTTCAGTCACAGATTGCTTTGTCTCTCCTTTTTTTCCCATTTCCAGCCTGGATGTGTAAATACCACTGAAGTGGACATCAAGAAGTCATCCCGAATGAGAAACCCACACAAGACACGGAAGGTAAGATCGCCGATCTTTGTGCTGATTGTAGTAATGAGCTTCGAGGACACCCACCGTGCAAGTCTCCACTCCCACCTCACAGGGAACCTGCGGGTGCCTCCGCTGCTCTTCCTCGTTGCTTGGCTAGAAGAAATTCTTGGCATCCCCGCCTGGGTCTCTGCCAGTCCCTCACCCCAAGGAAAGAGTTTCTCCCCAAAGCATGCAGGTGTCTGTGCCAGAATGGGGACAAGGGTGCTGGGGACCCTTCTGTCCCTCAGCCGGAAGAGTCCTCAGCAAGGGCAAGCACCTCTTTCAGAGGCCAGGGGACCATCCGAGAAAAAGTGGGGCTGACGGGAGAGGGGCGCTTTTAGAAAAAAGTCTGAGGGACAAAGGGACATTATAAAGATTCGGAACTACAGATACTGTTTGAGGACCTCCATCTAACATCAGAATTTTGAGACGACCTAAGACGATGACTGTGTGGTGTCTCTTTGTAACAGGATACATACAAAAAAAAAAAAAAAAACTCGCCAGAGTTTAACATTTTAAATAATCTTTTGAAAACACATAGTAGTAATACCTACATTTTTTAAAGTAACACACAGAAGGCATTTTTACTCATTCCGTTAAAGAAGAAAAAGTTTGACGCACATAAGCACTTCTGGCCTGGAACACTCCCCCTGAAGACAGTGTCCAAGGGTGGTGCCCTACATTAAGGCAACTCCACAAAGTTCAAGGCCTTCTCAGTGCTTTTTTCCTTATGTAGCCACAGCGGTTTCCAGGGCCTGTGTCCCTGAAGTAGACACACGACATTTTTTGGGAAGTCTTATTTTTTGTTGTCTTTTTCTTCCATCCCTGGAAACACATGCATCGGATACAAGGGCCCCGATGCGGTTCAAGTACCTTTTCTTTCCTATAAGGCATTTGGCCTTGATGCGAGGATATAGAAGCCACGGGAGAGTTGCCACAAAAACTATTCAGATGCAGCGCTCAAAAGCTCTTGTCCCCGGGGCTCTCTGAGGGATGGAGGCAGCGCCGGACCCAAGCAGGCCTGTGGGTCCACTCCCCCGGTTGACGGGCCCCACGCAGGTCCTTTCATCCTCCGCTCACTGTCCATTTTGAGTGCACCAGGGACTCATGAAACAAGATTCAAAGTGCAACCTGCTCTCCCAAAGTGCACAAAGCCACCCAAAGTGCATCTCGGTCCTTTCTGAATTCCGAAGGGCTGGCCTTTGTCATATCTAACTTTGTGTTAGGTTCTCCAACTGAGATATGCCCTAATTTGGAAGAGGAAAGGGGCGGGTTAATGAGAAAGAACTTAAAGGTAATCATGTCATCACGTACACTGCTTTTTAACACAATAATCAATACTGACACTTTACCAAAGCATCACATAGCATCATTCTTTTTCATTTTATCTTTCAGTGATAGTTTGCATTCAATATTATTTTGCTTTAGTTTCAGGTATACAGCCTTGTGCTTAGACAGTCATATACTTTACAAAGTACCCCCCCATATTTCCTGGACCCACCCGACACTGTACATATTATTACGATATTATTGACTATATTCTATACTCTGTCCTTCACATCCCTATGACTTTGAAAGTTTGAAAAGCAATAGCTGACGGTGTTGCTCTGTACGTTCCATCAAGCCCTCATTTAACTGATGGGGAAACATGAGGCATCCAAGGTAAAATACGCAAACAGGGCATCGTTGAGCAGTGTTTGCCTGTGTCGCAGCTAATTTCCTGTGACTCCGTAAGGCCAGAACTACAGGGCCTGCCTGCGGAGCTGCTTGGTGCTGGAAGGACCAGAGCAAGACAGGTGTTCCCAAGGATGCCGCAGCTGTCGTGTGCATGCCATCATTTTTAACAGCTGGAGAAGACGATGTTCTCACCTCTCGACACTTATAGCTTCTCCCAGTCGGAAGTGTTGAATTTGCTAGAACCTTCACAGTGTTATTTTACTCAAAGCCACAAGCTGGTTTGTCATTTTTTGTCCTTTTTATTGAATGTAATGGAGGTGACACTGGTGAGAATGATCACCACTGCTACTTCAGCTCCTGTTTGGCTCAGAGCTGGAACGCTCCATTCAATCTGCAGATTGAATAAGTCTCTGCTCTAAGCCCACCGGGTACCTTTCATTTTGTGGGCGGGCCTCACACAGTTTTTGTATGTCCTCACCCTTCCTCCGCATCAAAGACAAAGTTCCCTCAGGCCACCCCCAGAGTTGATCATCACTTCCCATGTTCTCTCCCTATAGTCAGTTATTCTGTCAAAGTTAACAATTTAACCACTTTTGGTTACAGATCTGTGCGTCCCTTTTACACTTCATACAATATTTATGGTAGCAGTGTCATTTGAATTTTGATAAGAAGCTTAATCAAATCTGTATCAAAGTTACCTTACTAAATATATAACACAAAATTGCCTTTTAGAAAAATCTATGACTACGCATGTTTTGTCCTAACATATTTCTTTTTTAATTTAATATAGTCTGTCTATGGTTTACAAAATGACATCAGAAGTCACAGTCCTACCCACACACCCACGCCAGAAACTAAACCTCCAACAGAAGACGAGTTACAACAGCAGGTGGGTCTACCTATGAAACAGCCTGTTCCTGGTTCACGGAGTAGTAGCTATGAAAACCAGATGGCGAATGTTAATAGCAGGCATTTTGAAAGGTTACTTGTACAGTCGGCTGTTTCACATAGAAGATGTTCAGTTAAAAAGTAACAAAATTGGCTAATTTTAAGATATATAGTCAAAACTCCAATATTTAACTCCCCAAGTCCTTTTTACTCTACCCAGTTTTTTATAGTCATGGACACTGATTTACAGGTGCATCCATCATCAATAGATATTTTGCACTTCATGACTCTATCTTATAGAACGAGAAGGCAAGAGGTTGGCTCCATGGTCCTGCATTTCCCATATCCAGTCATGTGATGTGATCTGTACAGAATTTGAGTGCTCATTCTTGTTTCTACAGTTCTGATCTCTGTATCTAGACGCCTGTTGATGTTTACCCATAGCTACACTGGTGCTCAGTCATGGTGTACATCGCTCTTTGTTTTACCAACCGACCAATAGTTTGGTCTTCAAGTAATATTGCAAAGCAAACACCAGTGTTTCATGTCAAATAATAATTAATCTCCTGGTTGGTTTCATCCTGAGGCTTTTTTTCCTTTTTGAATTTTTTTCTTACAATTTATGATAACATGATTTATCAATAATATAATATATTTTCAGTATATTTATAATCATTGCAAAGGGAAAGTAATCCAGAGAATTTTAAATTAAGGTTTTCCATGTGTGATTATTATGTCCATGTGAGTGTTCGTCTACACTGTTGATAAAATTGTTCTCAAAATACCTGTTATTGATGTTTTGTTGGGGTAGTATTAGGAAGCAGGGTACATATTGAAATTATAATAACAAATAACAAATGCATTTATATTCTAAACTCAATAGTTAGGGAGTTCACGTGCTTCTGATTTGGCTATTCACCACGAATAAATATTTTAAATGTCTGTAACACTTTTAAAAGAAAGTTGCATTTTTTAAAAGTGGGCAGAGTGTTCAGATTCATTGCTGCTCTCAAGCAATATTGGTTATATTTACATGCAAACAGAATTTTGATTTTTTAACTCTTTCAGAGCTCTGTTGTTTGATTTTTTTTAACAGGTTTTGGAATTTTACTCATTTGGAACATATTCTTGTTCAGAATTGCCCTGTTCACCAGAAATTAGAGCTAGAAATGATGAGAGCATCACCACTTCTATAACTGGCCCTTAACTCTCTTTTCAGATAAACTATTGGCAGATACAGTTAGATAGACACCGGTTAAAAATGTCCAAAGTTGCTGATAGGTAAGTATCCTGAGATGTCCATGCGCCTTTAAAATTTTTATATGACAATGGAAATCTGGTCAAAAGGGTTAAAAAACTATCGGAAAGGGAGCCGAGATAAGTAGTTGGAGACATGGAATACATGTTATTTTGTTTTTCCTTTTTTAACATAGAAAACTTCCAGGGAACTGTTTTGTTGCAGTTTAAGTTACTGAACTCTTTAAATGATTGTCCAAAATCTCTAGAGGCCTAACCCTTGGACAGCCAGACTCAGATACCAAAGATAATCCCAAAGTGCTGCATGTTTCCTTCCTGCTGGGAGCAGTGACTCTTTGAACTTGTGAAGTTGCCTTTGGCCTTTCTGAAAATTTATATTAACATTTACACTCAGTCATTACATGACTTCAGAATTTGAATTAAATTCAAATTTTAACTATTTTCCACTTCTTCATTTACATCTGTTCTTAATGGCATTTCTGTTGTTCACTTTGGTGCATTATCAAACCCTACCTCTTCAACTTTCTTCCTCTCCTCTCTTTTTTAAAAATTTTTATATACAGATTAAAAACAGTTTGGTCAGTGATTTCCCTTTTACCTAATTCCTATAAATACTGTACACAAAAATTCCCTTTTAACCTCTTTCCCACGTTGGCTAGCATCAGTTCAGGGGCAGGTGAACTGGTCGACCCAGAACTGGACCAGACCCTTAGCACTGCCCTTCACACACTGACCTCTCGCCTTCTGCTTCATTGTAATGGAGGGATGTGACCCACATGGCTTAGGCCCAGGCAGAGGTGGAATCCTTAGCCACATTTGCCTTCCAAGAAGCACAATAAGTTGATGCATGTAAGTTATTGAATGTGAAAACTGTATGCATTCTATAGACGAGCAAGGATTCCTTAGCAGACAGTTTTATATTGCCCCTTACTTTGGGCTGCACGGAACCTCAGCCCGACAGCTAAGGAAGATGAACGTGTTTCTTCTCTCTAGTCTGCTAAGTTACACGGAGCAGTATTTAGAGTATGACCCGTTTTTTGTGCCACCTGACCCTTCCAATCCATGGCTGTCCGATGACACCACTTTCTGGGAACTTGAAGCGAGGTAAGTGACGCTTTCTCTTCCCTCGAAATATTTCACTCACTTCAGAGTTTGCGTGAAATAGGAAGAGCCCTCTAGCTAACTATCGCAAAGGTCATTTTACGCTGTGTCTATATTAGCCCATGACGTGAAGTTCTCATTACAAAGGTAATGGTTTTTGAACCTTAGAATTGGGGATTTGGATTTGTGTATGCATTTCTAGAAGACCAGCACAAAATAGAGGAATTCAGGTTTTAAAATAGACCAGTCAGAGTGGGGATCTCCAGTTCTTTAAACTTAGCTCATTGTTTTAGCTTCCTTAAAAATCCACATAGTCACAAAGGCCTATGTAGTCAAGTAATACACATGCTAAATCTACGCTTATTAAGCCCATTGTAAGTATGCCTTTATACATTCAATTTTTAAACCCAATGACCTTGACATAAATGCTGTAAGAACAGCTGAAAAGACACTGACTTCTTAAGAAAACCAAAGCACAATTTTGGACTCCCTGATTTCTTTCATGAGCTAGAGAAGAATTATAGTATTGATTTTGACAGAATGATAAAAAGACCTTTGCCTATCACTTTATATTTACTCTTCTGCTGCACTTCTCTAGATTGGATTTATGGACTTTTTCTTTCTTTTATATTCATCCGGTTGGTCTGAAGTGCTTGAGAAATACAGACCTCTTCATCCATAGATTCTAGATTTTATAGATGAGGAAGCTAGGACCCCAGAATGTGTTACTCTGCCAAGGTTAGATCACACGTTTAGTTGACAGTGGAGCTCTAAACTAGTTCTTAGGCCTTTTGATTCCCAATGCATTTTCTCCCAAGACAACATACTACCATGAGACTGCATTGGGTATAGGCTAGGAAACTGGGCTGCAGGGTCATATGTCTGCAGTTTACCCCCTTATTACCCGGCCGACACTGGCAAGTCATAACTCTCTTTGTGCTGCGATTTCATTATCTATAAAATGAGAATTATAATAAAAAAACTAAAAGAATTCATCTAGCGCACTTAGCACTTGATGCTCAATGAACCTTAGACTTCATTATTAATTCCTCACTTACACCTCGAGACAATTTCACGCAGAGTCATCAACCTGAGGTTTTCTGTTTCCCGAAAGTAGAGTTACAGATGGGAAGGACAAGACATATATGAGTCTGAGAGGAAATGTAACAGCAGGAAATAGGGCTCGTAATGAAAGGAATGTACCTGGTTTTGCTTTATCCCCCATAGCAAAGAACCAAGCCAGCAGAGGGTGAAGCGGTGGGGCTTTGGCATGGACGAAGCCCTGAAAGACCCGGTTGGGAGAGAGCAGTTCCTTAAATTCCTAGAGTCAGAATTCAGCTCGGAAAACTTAAGGTAAGACATGTCCTCTTTAGATCTTACCCTACAAGCCAGAGATACCCACCTGTGATGTGTCTGGTGGTTTAGGACGTCACACAACAGATCAGTTACTCTCCCAGCCAACATCGTGTTGGTGAAAGGAACCCATCGAATTTCTGCTGCTTCATGGAGGGGAGGAAAAGGTAACCAAGGCAAAGCCTGTTCCGCATTATCAGTTCCTCTGATTGGTTTATTTTCACACTGTCTCTTGATCTTTTTCCTATATAAATTCAGTACATTTGAAATGGATGCCATAAAGCGTGTAATACTTAATCTTGGGCAGAGTAGAAAATGGCCAATAATATTTATGCATTGAGTTGAAATATCAACTATTCATCTTCATTGATCTTCTGTACCTATTGCTTCTCAAGTAAGGTCTAGAAAAAGAGGTTGTGTACTTATATCAAATAATTTGACACAAAACTATGGGGCAACTCATTTTTTTTTTGCACACTAAATACAGTCTCAGGGCAGGTGAGGACAGCACCATGGTAAGCTGTTAGCGAGAGAGGGCTACAGCTTCTGCCCATCTTTTGTAAACCTCATCCTTACAGATTTTTGAAACCTTTCTAACTGGAAAGACACCTGGAAAATAATTTTTAAATGTGAGACACTGGAATAGACTTTAATGGCTCTGTTTAACATCATTGAAGTAAGTGATAACTTTCCACTCCATGAAACTGGTTTTCCATGAGCTCTTTTATTCATTATTCTTTCGATCCCCTAGTCCTTACCCATGACATATGGGGTTCTGTGACATTTATTTACTAAATCTCAGTAGCCATATTTTTTTCATAGGACCTAAGTAGTGCCAGGAATTGTCACATTCTTTTCAGAGGATTTAACAATAAAAAAATGGTCAGAAATATGTAGGACTTTGACAGATGTCCCATGGATTAAGCAAGATGACCGCAGATACACCCTAGAGGAATGTAGTCACACAGATGTGTGCCTGGCATGCATCGCTGGGTGGCAGCCTTCTGCTTTCTTGCAACCTTCTGAGAACCTTCTCAAGTTTATGAGATATGCAGTCCCTAAGGACATTCATTGAGCCTGCAAAATAACATGTTCTATATAAGATCAAGTCATCAATTATTGAGTGCAAAAGTGTATGAACATAAAGCAGAAATAAAGAATAGTCTTAGCATGACAATGGATGGGAAAGTGAAGTTTCCTCCAAGTCTCTTAAGTTTTTGAAGAAACGCTGACATTATGAAAATCATGATGAGGAAGTAAACAGGTAATGAGCCTCGCCAGAATCACCTCAGCAAATATACATGGTTCTTCATCTCATTGACATTGCAGCCTGCTGATAGATACAGAGAAGACAGACCACGGCACACAAAGATGGGTGTTTAGATCAGAGGAGTATGAAAAGGCAGTTAACCCAGAGTTGGGGGTCAGCAAAGGCAACCTTGGGCAAATGGCTTCTGGGCTGAGGTCTGGCTGCTGAGGATGTAACCAGGCAGAAAAGGAATAGGGAAGAAGCTTCTGGGCAAAGGGAAGGCATGTGAAAGCTTTGTTTTCATGAATTAATTGAATCACTGCTGATTCCTTAACTCAAACTTTAACCATTTCTTATCTCAATAATTCTGTGCCACACTAGTTTTCCTGATAAGTAATTACATACAAAATATTGCATATGTCATATATGTGTCTGTATATACTGAAGAAATATATGAGTATATCTAGAGTATACCTTATACCTATTATATGTTTCCCTGCTAAACATATAGATGACAGGTAGGTAGGTAGGTAGGTAGGTAGATAAATAGATATAGAGATATAAATCTTGAACACCTATTCTGTGCCATAATATGCTTCCTGCCCACTACCTTTATAAGTATTCCATGCTTTATTATCATACACCTAATCATCACAACAAAAATAAAATGTAAATATTCTCATCCCATTGTCACAGGTAAGCAAAATGTGTTTGAGGAAGGTCAAGCGTATTGTCCAAGTCAGATCACTAATAATTGCAGCCTAGGCTTGCTCTAAACCCATACTCTCCAGTGCCCCCCACATCAGAGCCGCACAGCTTGTGCATCGGTATCTGGGGCCACAGGAGAGGGAGGCAAAATGATCCATTAGCGCTTAAATAAGTCTCAGTGCCCCTAAGCCACACACCTCTAAGCACCTGCCGTCTATGCAAGCATGGCACTCGTATGAGTATTTTCCTCAAGCATCAGGACAGAAGAGTCAAGAAATCCTGATTATCAACAACTACTTATTCTTCAGCTGCGACCTGTGCTCTCCGTGGGTCTCTAGTTTGCTCATCCCTTTTCCAGGCGAAGCACGTCAAGTAAATACTTAGCATAGAGTCAGTACTAACTACCTCATAATATGGCTTTTATTTTTGAGTACGTAAAAATGTGTCAAGCAGTTCCAAAGTGCCCTTTGCATAATTTATGTCATTTAATCTAATGGAAACCTGGGGAGGTAGGCATTACCATCCCATTTCACCGATGAAGAAACAGAGGCTCAAAGACATTAAGATACCTGCTCATATTCCAGCTGCCGTGTAATAGGGGAGAGTGGGATTTTAACCAGTGCCCTCTGCATTGTCCTAAGTTATTAATACAGCGATGACAATAATATGCCAAGGATAAAAAGGGCAGTGAAGCTCTGAAAGAGGCATCATAGGCAGTGGGTATGAGCATGTCATCTGTTGCACATTAGCCGGGGCAAACCCCACGTAGGACACTCACAAAGGACAGCCTTAAACGGGTGACCCTGTCTTTGTATCCTCAGTCTCCTATTCCCTGAAGTGGGGGGAAGTACTGAGTTCATATAGCTAATCCCTTAGCATGGTGCCTGCACCCACATATTAGAGCAGGTGTTATTATTGTTATCTTCTCAACTTTTTGATAATTCATCCTTACGACCAGGTCCAGGTAAGGTCCCACTGCATCCATAACAGCTTTCCAGAGCGTTCTTTTCCAGCCCAGCACTCGCCCTAGCAGAAGGGCCTCTCCGCTCTGGGTTCCCAGACTGTCCAGTGTGTGCGGCTCCTTGAGAGTCTCTCGTGGGCTTCCTGGTGCTGTGGCCACATGAATTGTTATTCTTTTCTCTATTTCTTCTTTGAGGACAGATTCGTTTAACTTAGGTGTCAAAGTGTGCTGGAATGAACTTGAACGAGCGTTAACTATAACACTGTCCCTCACATGCATGTGGTATTCCTGTTAGGTCGCAGTGTTGACATCTGTGTTTTAGGAGGAAAATAGCCTGGAGGTGTCCCTTCTCAAAGCCATAGTGGTAGTTTCACATTGACAGCATTGACTGAATTGAATGATCTACTGTTACATATAGCTACAGGAAAGTATTGTCTAGAAACTGAAACAGCACTGGAGAGAGTGGTACTTGATAATCTAATTCTGGAGCTTATCTCTGACCTCTCTTTAATGCCCCAGTGAAAACTTAGTTATGAAGGTACCACTGATCGCATGGTATGTCTCTCAGGACTGTAACTCGAGGTGGCCTCTGTCCATGCGGACACCTTGTCCACTTCATGGTCACACCTACCATCGGAGCCACACCAGTGCCTGTCGAGGATAACACAGACCTAGTAGTTCCTCTTTCAGGTGTATTTTATATTAACCAATTATTCAACTTTTTAACATTATTTCTAGGTCAAATCAAAAGCGCTGAGGGAGGCTTTACAGACAATGGAGCGACCTCATACAGTGGAGCTCTGTGTAACCCGGAGCGGCCTTTAAAGACATGGAGTCCATTAATACCATGCGCCCCCTTATTATTAGACTTTTCTATTTCCTCTTATCAACCAAAACGTGTCCTGGTGTCCTTTCCTCCCAGCACACACACTCTGTAAAAGAGCAGAGAAAATACATTTATTTATCTAGAAGTCAACGTGCATTTATTTTTTTCAGAGCTTCTTGAGTGAGAGAATGTCCCTGCAGATGAAAGCCTTTCAAAGCACTGCATGGGAAAGCTTTCCGCTTCTGTCATTCCATAACTCTCTGAATTCAGTCGCCTAAAATTAGTTACTTGCCCTGATTTCTCCAGCGAGGGCCTGTTTTGATCTGGGCCCAGACTTCCCTTAACTCCAGCCAAGCTTTGCTGTAATCCCTTTGCCAGGTAGGGCAGAAAGTCCTCTCCCTACAGACTCTCATCGCTCAAATGGACGGAAGACCCAGGGATACAGAGTAACACGTGACCTTCTCCCCCAGTCGCTTGCGGTGTGTCCTGCACCCTTGATATCCTCCCAGCTCCTCTTCCTCTCTCATAAGTGGTTCCATAGCCCTGCTACTTTGCTTTAGTAAAGTGACGTTTGCACAGAATCAGGGCGCTGGCAGATCCGCTTTTAACAGCAAGCTCATAAAAGACATTGCTTTCTGTATTTCCTTCCAAAAATTGTATACCTTTGAATGCAACTAATTAAAAAAAAAATCAGTCAAGGACTGGTATTGGAAGCCCTCCAGAAAGTGAGCTCATTATTATGCATCGTTGTGAATTGTAAGGTCACTCAGTTTCACAAGGCTTTTCAGATGATGAGGTAGCGGAGTCAACTTTTGGTGTCACATCCTGTGCAGGTTCTGGCTGGCCGTGGAGGACCTGAAGAAAAGGCCTATTCGAGAAGTCCCCTCCCGCGTTCAGGAGATATGGCAAGAGTTCCTGGCTCCAGGAGCCCCCAGTGCCATTAACTTGGACTCTAAGAGCTACGACAAAACCACCCAGAACGTGAAGGAGCCTGGACGGTACACGTTCGAAGATGCTCAGGTTGGTGCAGGGGTGGGGGCACCTCAGTTTATGTCGCAGATGTGCTCCCGAGAAGTTGGCGGTTGAGATACTTTTGTTTCATTTTATTATAATTGGCCGTGATGCCGAATAGCCCAGATTAGGTCACTGTATGTAAAATAACTCTTCATCGATCTAGAAGGGAACAGAGATGCTTTAGAGTGGCCTGTTTTTAAAAGCCTGGTGATGTCTTGGACATGTGTATGGTTTTATATGCACAGTTTCTGAAAGGGAGTATTGGAAATCTTTGAAAACTTTTACTTCCTTTTCTCTTTTCTTTGTCACCCAATGTGTGAGCAAGCATTTGTCCCAAGTGGCCCAACCTCGGGAACCTCTAGTTGACATCTTTAAGGTGTCATCAGTGTGAAGATACCAGGATTCTGACATCCCTTAGTTATTCATGATTAAAACAGTCAGAGCTAAACTGAATTAGCTTAATGTTATGTCAAACTCAAACCAGTGTTGCCACTAATGATAAAAATGGCATACTAGATTCAGGCACTTACTACTTTTTCAAGTTCATTTTGGGGTCTGCAAAAAGAAATAAAAGGAAATTGATATTAAGACAATAACTTCTGAAGACCAGTGTTTAGTGTTTTTTTTTAAATCATACTGGACATAAATGTCTCCTTAAGAACAATTTGAACATCATTTCCTAATAATGTGTTGAAACTGGCTTTTAATCAGAACATGCCTACTTTATAATTTCTTAAACCATTTTTGGAAAAGGATATTAACTCTAGAAAGTACATTCTATTTTAAATAACAGTGTTACTGAAATAAAATACAGAAGATGAAGAATGAGATGCACAAATGTCCTTCCTTAATTTTACTCTCAGTAGAAACTACATTTCTCCTTGGTCCTGGCTGGTGTGGCTCAGTAGACTGAGTGCCAGTCTGAGAACCAAAGGGTTGCAGGTTCAATTCCCAGTCAAGGCACATGCCTGGATTGCAAGCCAGGTCCCCTGTAGGGTGCGTGCAAGAGGCAACCACACATTGATATTTCTCTCCCTCTCTTTCTCCCTTTCCCTCTGTAAAAATAAATAAAATCTAAAAAAAAAAGAAAAGAAAATACATTTCTACTTGGCTTCGGTTTAAGGAAATGAGCCGCTCTGTATAAAAGGGACCCAGATTAAAACAGCTACCCAAACACCCATCCTCCCTGTCTGTGCTGTGGTCTTCTAAGTGGAAATAATTAAAGTCTAAGTAATTAAAGTGACGTCTACAGAGACACGCAACCAAGAGCAGAATAAAAATTCTGGCCTTGCATCTTTCTCTGTTCATTAGTTTTTATTTCAGTTCAAGATAAAATTCCGAACATTTTTCTAGAACCAACAATGTGTAAAATGTTTGAGATGACCTTCCTGAAGTCTGAAAAGGAACATTTATTTATCTGTGTCATTTAAAGATATTTTGCTTAATGGGTCTTCAGTGTGGAAAGGCATGGTTCTCTACAGGACGCATTAGCAGCAAACACTAGACTTCTCCTTGAATTAAGCACAGATGTTTAACTCCAGTTTTTCTGTGGGTTTTTAAACCCCATCTTCAAAAGGGTAATAGGAATTCTTTGTCCTTGTTTGAGAAGAGGCACAATGTAATGGTTAAGAAAGCAGGTTCCAGAACCAGATGCCTGGGTTCTAGTCTGGACTCTTCCTCAGTACTCCACTTCCCCATGCCTGCTTCTTCATCCTTAAAGTAGATTTTTAAAAAGATTTTATTTCTTTATCTTTAGAGAGGAAGGGAAGGAGAGAGGGAGAGAAGTATCAGTGTGTGGTTGCCTCTCCTGCGTCCCCTGCTGAGAACTGTCCTGCAACCCAGGCACGTGCCTTGACTGAGAATCAAACCGTGATTGTTTGGGTCGCAGGCCCGAGCTCAATCCACTGAGCCACACCAGCCAGACCTTAAAGTGGATTTGATAATGGCCACCAACCTCATTGAGGCTGTGTGAGGATTACATTAATTAGCATCAGCAAGCATTTAGGAGGGTATATTCAGGCACAGCCCCATACTCTGATAAACACTTGTCATTTCTTTCAGTCCTACAACTTTGTATTATACCTTAGAAAAGTAAGGCTGAGAGAGATATGAATAAACTGGTTACATTTGCACTTCGTAACTGCTAGACCTTGAGCAAGATAGTATCTGAATTCTAAAATGCTCAACTCCAAAAGGACGTAATTTCACTCTTATGATACTTGAACAACAATTTAAAAAAATAAATAAAAAAACAAACTGATACAGTTTGAAATGTGCCCTACTCCTGGAGAGGAGCCTTAGACTAATTAGTTGAGGCTTAATCCTGAGTGCTTTGAAGTGGATTCTGAATAATTACAAGTTTTTCCTGGTGTGTTTGAGACTAGGGAAACCAATTCATTTCTAAAACCACATATTCTTTCCAAGTCACAAGAGACGGGGACATCCAGATACACTCAAAGGGTTCGGAACTCTGCGTGTAACCGCCGTTTCACTAGACTGGAAAGACCAGGGAGTCTCTACACTGTCTTGAGCTGCAATAGGCCACAGCACAGTCTCCCAAAATGGAGCAGTAACACTGAATTGGGTCGATACATTTTTTATCCACTTCTCTGCCATTACTCATCGTTAAAGCAGAATGTTATAAGCTGATTAGAATTAAATTATTAAATATTTATTGAACTCAGCACTGAATGAGTAAAAAGAGCATACGAATGGGGAAATAGAGCCAACAAGTATTACAGTATTTATTCTTTTCCTTGTGCTCTGGCCCAATGTGGATGTGGGTGACAATTTTCCATATTATTTGCACTAAGAAATGATTCATCCGAACAGTCCACTCTCTAAATACATCTGATGCCATAGGTTTCTAGGCTGGCTTCACATCATTCACTCTGGGCCTGGAGTCATTTTGAGGGAGAAATTGATTTACTGGTATATTCTGTAATAATCTCTATAAATCAGCAACTTGATTTGGACCTACTTTATGACATTCCATTAACTAAATTCCATTTTTTTAAAGGACTGGATGTGATTAACATTCTTTGTAGTTCCTCCACCAGTTTTAAAACTGACTCATGAGTAAAATAACGAATTTGAGAATCTGCAAGTTCTCTGAACATAAGGGTTTCTCCACAGCATTTTTATTATTATTTCTAGCTGCCTCCAGATTTGCTTTGGAACCAAGTGTTGTATTCTTATCACCGTGTATGATTTTTCCTGGGAAAAAATCAAATGAACAAGTACCTTAACTATTATTTCTTTTTAGGAGCACATATACAAATTGATGAAAAGCGATTCATACCCACGTTTTATAAGATCCAGTGCCTATCAGGAGCTTCTACAGGCAAAGAAAAAGGTACTGGTTCTTTGTGACCTTTTCAACTCTGGTCCTCAGTTGTAATTATTTGGAGTAATTACCTCCACTGGGCCCAGGGTGTTGGACAAGTGGTAAGTGAACGCACCCCAAAACCCTCCCCCAGACCTTTGCATTTTTAAGAGCCATTTAAGTTATTTTTGTCTCTGTTTGCTTATTTTCTGTTTTGTTTGTTTCTGTAGATGTTCTTGCTTTATAATGTTTTCTAGAAGCAGTTTCTGTGTTTCACGTTAGTCTAATGTATGCCTAGTTGTAGGAAATCAAAAATCACAATACAGGAAAAGGACAAATGGCATTGGTAATAAACTTGAACAGGGTCTTTTTGTTCAGTGAAGTAGAATATGTATTTTCACCACATACTCTATAACTAAAAATGTCATTTTTTTGATGACAGCTGTCCAAATACAGTAATGTTTGCTTCTAAGTATCTTCCATGTGGTATTTAAGCTGAATCACTTGACATCCCCACAGTGAATTTTACACACCTAATTTGGTAGTCACACACGTTTTTGGAAGAGTTGCAGCGGCCTCAGCGTTCAGTCAATGTCTATAATCAAAGTTCCTATGTCCCTAGCACCCTACATCATCCACAGAACGGAGTGTGGGAAATCTGGGAAAAAGCATCGACATCACTCACTTCTTTTTTTTAATCTGTACTCCAATGTCTATTGCATTATTATCACAATACCCAAGGTACAGACACCCGAGTGAGCACTGACGGATGAACAGCTAAGGAATATTTACACACACACATGAATACGTGGGAATCTTATTCAGCTGAGAAAGGGCAGAAGAAAATTCTGCCATCTGCAAGGACACAGATGAACTTCGAGGGCCTTATGCTAAGGGAAACAAGCCAGACAGACAGAGAGAAACACTGAATGGAACCACTTCTATGTAGAATCTAAAAAAAACAAAGCTGAGCACAGAACCAGAGTAGAAAAGTGGTTGCCAGGGCCGTGGGGTGGGGAACACGGACAGAGAGGCTGAAAAGAGGCGCCCACTCTCCGGTCTATGATACAGACAGGTCTGAGGACCTGGTGGATGACGTGAGGACTGTGGTTGATGATATTCTCTGTTGTATAACTGAGTTTTGCTAAGAGAGTAGAACTTGTGTGGTTATATTTAAATAGGTAAATACTTGAGATGGTGAAAATGCCAGCTTTATTAAGGTATAACAGACAAATAAAATTAACATTATTTCAAGTGTACAACGTGATGATTTCATATATGTACACAATGTGAAAGGATTCCTACCATCGTTATTTTTAATATTAAAAGAGTTCATAGCTTCTTGAAATTCTGAAATGAAATTGCAGTTCTGTGTGATTCATGATCACCATTTAGACTAATGGACTTTTTCAAAGTCCAGAGCCTTTACAACTGGAGAGATATATTCCATATTCAGGCTGTCCCGGACAGCCAACACTAGCCGCATGGGGTTGTTCAAATTAAAATTAAAGTCGATTAAGATTACATAGAATTCTAGCCAAATATTAAGTGCTCAGTGATAACAGCTAAAGGCTGCTGAAGTATTGGACAGCATACATGAAATTTCCATTCTCTCAGAAATTGCTGCTGGATAGCGATGCTTTATAAAGGGAACACTGTCATCAATAGCAGTCTGGTCCCGATAGAAAATTATTAGGGATGCCACCAGATTTCCAAATATTTAGACTTTGCAAATGTCAGCGTAAAAACTTCCCATATCGACTGCATTTTGATGTAGTTTAATTTTGCGTGAAATCACACCATCGTGTTTGCAAGAAGAAGAATTTGGGGGTTTGAAATAAAATCCTTAGGAAAAAGAGACCTTCCTTGGCAGCTCTCCTACTCCTATCTCCTCGGGCCCTCTGATTTAGGGCGTGAATTGGCGTTGCATCATTTCATCTTCCTGTCTTTTTCTGCTCCGTTTTCCTTGCTTTCTTTTTGTGTGTGTTTATACCCCTATTTCCCTTTGCCCCTCCCCACCCCCCACACGTAAGTCGGAACGCTCAATGGATCGCAGAACATCTTTTGAGAAATTTGCACAGAATGTGGTAAGTCTTCTTTTTGGAGGAATTACAAATCCTTACATCCAGTTAAGAAGTTCCCCCACTTTCTAACCCCACTGCCCACCTTGAGTCCTTTGAGATAGCACCCAACGTATTGCCTTTATTCAAATTCAGAACGTTCCTACTGAGCCTACTGGCTCAGCCCTTTCTAGAGTAGATAGAGATGTCATACATGGAATACTACATGTATGAAGCTAAGGTTTGGAAAGAAGTTTATATATAGAAAATGAAGAAATAATTACTTTTTATCCGTTTATTTGTACTCACTCTAGCCCTTTCTTTATTAAAGATAGTGCATGCTTTTCTTGCCCTCGGCTCTTCCTAAAGCTTAAAAGATGGAGAATAGTCAAGGGTGTCTGCTTCCTACTTCTTCAGGGACCAAATGACCCAGTTAGCAGTTTAAAGCCAAAGATTTGGTATGAATGGTGGTCGGTGATGAGATTTGCCAAAGACCCACTACCATGTGCCTCTTATTCTTTATTTTTCAGGAAACTGTTGAAAATCATTGCCTAAATCACTCAGGAGATTAGTAGTTTTTATACCACTGTTTTCTGAGTATCTTGCCATGTGTTTCGGTGATATATTTGTGTGTGGGATTCTTTCTGATTTTATTTTCTTTGTATTGTACCAGTGCCTTTGGAACTTTCTGCCATTGTGTAAACGCAAACTAAAGCCTTCAACACATTTATTTTTATAGGGCAGAAACATCCCTATTTTCCCATGCCATAAAAACTGTACACCAACAATGAGGGCCAGCACTAACCTGTTATGAAAAGAGGTAGAACAATCTTGGTTTCTACTCCAGTTTGTCTGCATCGTCTATTGAGTCATGTGGTTTAGCTCCATGCCGCTGCTGTGTGTACGTGTGTGTGTGTGTCGTGGCTTTTGCTCTGATGGCTAGTTAAGTGGAGTTGTGTGTATTGGCATGTAAGCCCATTGGATTCAACAAAGATGCGGTTTTTGTTTTCAGTTTCCTTCAAGGGTTTTTGTGGTGGGGAATGCTAATCAGTTCTATTCATGAACTGCCCGTTGCGGCCATTAACAGAGTATTTGAGTGACGAAAAAGCAGTATGTACTTTGAACATTCTCTGTGATTACATTGCAAATTAAAGGGCTGGAAATTGAAGGACTCTGGGAATTAATTGTGTGCTAAACTTGACAAAAGTTCGGCTGGCTCTATGGGAATCTATGACCTGTGATGTAAAATTTTCCTAAAGATACCTTGTGAGTCACCACGGGAAGAGGATGTGAAAGAAATGCTTCAAGATTTTGGTGGAGAAAGTCACACAGTGCTTGGTGTATTGTTTCAGAATTGTTCCAAATTCATCTTTTTCTAATGTAATGCTGACAGAATGTTGTTCTTGATACTACAATGGAAGTTTCTGTGGTGTAATTAAAAACAATAATGCAATTTAAGGATGATGGAAAGGGGAAGCAAAATGGTTGCTTTTCCTCCAATGCCATCCCTGATTCTGACCAACTTCCCCGGTTCTTAAAATAGCACTATGTTGGTTTATTTGGTTTGACTTCTTTAAGATTCCACATATAAGTAAAATCATGTGGTATTTGTGCATCTCTGTTCAACTTTATTTAGCATAATACTTCCTAGGTTCAACCATGTAAACGACAAGGTTTCATTATTTTTATTGCTGAATAATATTTTATTATAAATTGTATTATATAATGTAAATACTATATATTGTGTGTGTATATATATATATATATATATATCCTCCACTTCTTTATCTATTCATCTACCAATGGACCTAGACTGCTGCCATGTCTTGGCTATTGTGAATATTGCTGCAACAAGCATAGGGGTGCAAATATGTTTTCAAATTAGTGTTTTCATTTTTGGTGCATGGGGGATGGGTGGAAAAGAAGAGGGGGAATAAGAGGTACAAACTTATAGTTATAAAATAAGTAGGTTGCTGGGACATAATTTACAGCACAGGGAATATAGCCCATGAGACCATAATAACTTTGTATAGTGACAGATGGTTACTCGATCCTTGTGGTTATTGTATTGTAAGGTGTATAAATGCAGAATGACTAAGTTGTGTGCCTAAAACATTATACTATTTCATGGCAACTATACTTTTTAAAAAATAGTACCACACTGTCACATACTGCAGAGTTTAAGAAAAGATGAATAAGAAATAAGGGGAAGAGCCCTGGCTGGTATAGCTCAGTGGATTGAGCATGGGCCTGTGAAGGAAAGGGTCGCTGGTTCGATTCCCAGTCAGGGCACATGCCTGGGTTGCAGGCCAGGTCCCCAGTAGGGGACACACGAGAGGCAACCACACATTGATGTTTCTCTCCCACTCTTTCTCCTTCCCCTCCCCTCTCACATCTACATCTTCAATCAAAATTTGTACAAGTGCCAACTATATTCCCAATGTGTGCTTTGTCTTGGGAACATGTAGAGGTGTAGACCTTAATTGCTGGGGCACCTGATAATATAAACAAATTGCTATGCTGTACAATAGAATGATAAACTACTCCTACTTGGTCTGCTTTTTATTACTGTCTATTTGCAGAAGTTTGTTTACCTGCTCCAGCCTAAAAATAGCATCACAAGAGTTTCACACAGGAGTTACTTGCTTTGCTGGACAGATCTTCTCAATACCCTTCAAACTTCTTTTTTTTTAGTGTTTACTTAAATGTTTTTAAATATATTTTATTGATTATGCTATTACAGTTGTCCCATTTCCCCCTCTTCATTCCCCTCCACCCTGCACACCCCTCCCATCCACATTTCCCCCCTTTAGTTCATGTCCATGAGTCGTACATATAAGTTCTTTGGCTTCTACATTTCCCATACTATTCTTACTCTCCCCCTGTCTATTTTCTTTTTTTTTTAATTTATTTATTTTTTTAAAATTGATTATGCTGTTACAGTTGTTCTATTCCCCCCTTCATTCCCCT